GAAATTCCTGGAATACCTCAAATGGGGCTGCTCTAATTTTAAGTGTGTCACACTGTATGAAAATTATCTGTGCTGGAATATGGATGTGTCGCGGTTAATGTTGTGGAGATAGACAATATTCGGTTATTTCGGTATATTTGACGATAGTGCGGTTATCACACGGAAGCAAAACGGTCGGTCTAATTCGATAATTTCGCTCACAACATGATTTCTGTAAAGTGGAACTGAAATTGGTAGCGAAATTTTCACCAACTATTGCCTCAAAAAGGCTGTTATAACTAGTCATCCTATCACTTTAGATGATTCAAGACTTTCAGAACATGTAACAAACATTCACGGAGAAGAAGGAATTGGTGAATCAAGCAAAATTTAATTGAATGCAGCAAATAAACTTGTCATATATGCACGACAAAATATAATCTTGAAATGAGTAAATCTATATTTTGTTTCAGAGCGAATTTGAAGCTTGCGTGAACTCTGGATCTTATTCAATCAAGCACATCCATGAATTGTTTATGAACAGATATTGAATTGGCTCAAACAATCATTTTGTTTGATTCAAAATAAGATATTGATTCAATCAAATATTTAGTTGATTCAATGAAATATTTGGTTGATTCAAAGGAATATTTCGTTGATTCAAGAGAAACTGTATTTCCATTCGACAAATTGTTTGGTTGAACCAAATTCAGTATCAATTCGGGAATTTTCTGGAATTTCACATCGATAGAATACACTTAACTAGGAAACTAGTCACTTCTAGCATAGATCTCCAGTCTTTCCTCCTCTTAGTCCTGTTCAACTGATTCAAAACTATCTCGGATTGCTAATCATTCTATAAGTTCGATTTATCCAGCTGATATTTCAAACACGAAAATCAGGCTTCGCGTATATAATGAATTCGAGGCAGGCATAGACGAGGCGAAATGATCGCCATCTAGAGGAGAAAATTCAACTTGATGTAGAATGAACAAAAAATTTAATTGATATTACATATTTCGTTGCTCTATTGAAGCAAATGATCCGTTCGAAACGAGTTCACTGCTACATCGGAATAAGAAAACTTGTATGTTGTTTCAAAGATAGATTCTCATCAAAATGATCATTATTTCATCAAATCAACAAAATGTTTATAGTTGAATCAACATCGACATTATTTTGGATCGACATAATTTGTTTTTTAGGAAACCATATATTTTCTTGATGGAATTGCTATTATACTGTTGATTCAATTACACTACATTCTTGATTTGAACAAGCTGCTTCCATGAAATAATCATGAATCTAGTTGATTCAACAAAAAATTGCTCAGTCCAACAAATATAATTCAAGCATAAATAATTTGTTGATGCAATAAATCCTTTTTTTCGTGTAGCTTTGGTGGACTTTCCTGCTGAAATGAAAACAAAGGCTCTCTGAGATGTACTGAGAATTATTTGACGAGACCTAATTTCCAATAAATAAGGATTTCTAGTTCGAGGCGTTCAGCCTACATTTACATAAAACACTCGTTCTTGCATGGATGACTAGTCAATCGATAAAAAGATTAGAACGTTCGGAAATCGTGGACAGCGTGAATTTTTCACAAGGAAAATACATAATTCAAATGATAACACCGCTTAGTCAGGAGTCTGATAAACATTGATATCGAAATTTTTGAACACCTGAATTGACACCAAAACAATTCCCAAGGAAAGAGGAATTCGAAGAATATTTTGATATACAGGGTGATTCATTAAGAATTGGCAATCTCTGAACTACCGATAGTAAAGGTCAAAATTAGATTTAGCCTATAGCATGACTAATAAGATTGTTGGTCGTTACTGGTTTAGGGGATACAGGGTGTCCAAGGGAAACATTTTATTTTAAAATTTCTCAATAACTTTGTAAGTTTTGAAAGTATGAACATGAAATTTTGAAGTCTTAGGTTTTCTGACCTTTAAAATTCAGTTTTCGGTTCACATGTTCACAATAGTTTAGCTTGCATTCTTTTGCAAGTTTTTGAAAGTGATGCTTTCTCATTGTTTACACACAAAAATACATAATCTCTCCTTGTAGCAAGGTCAGTAACGCCATTGGGTGACCAGAACTCCACAGGATTTTCAAAATAACATGTTTCGCTAGTATAGTAGCTTCTTCCAAAAAAATCCCGTACAATAATTTAAGCTAACAATAATTAGACTAAAAACAGCAGGCTATTGGGTTCTTTATTGGCAAAAATACCAATAAAGAACCCAATATCATGAAACATGAAACAATGGATAGGTATAACTTTGACAATATTATCTGTATCTCTAAAAAATCATATAATATCGAAGACTTTTGGCACGATAATATACTACACACTGTTCTACCAATAATCATGTTAGCATCTTCAAGTTTTACGTAGTTTCTTGTTATTTTTTTCAACATTTGATGCGAATTTATATTCATTATATTAATTTTTTGTTCAGTAGGCAAAAAGTTGAAGATTTTTGGAATGAGGTAAGATATATTTCGTGGTCCGATTTAAGTACTACTCGGTGATGTTTTGACATGACATTCTTTTTTTTCCTAGTGAAATGTTCATGGTCCAAAATTTTTGATACCTCCTCGCACTAGGTCGCCTACTAGGTTTTCATTTAGAGATCGACAATGGTATTACAACCCTGGTAAACTAATGAAACAATTGCCATGCAGTGAAATATTGGTCCACGTGCCCCTGCCATTAAATTTTATGGGATTCGTCATCTTCTTAGCTTTAGGGTGGAAACAGGGGGTGGGTATCATGGGCGTCACCAGAGAAAACTATTAGGGACATAATGTTGATATAATAATTAAGAAAAAAATACGGTCCTTTCGGGAAATAAGAATGACCCTTTTTCTTTATGTTCTGGTTCCCACGAAAAGGGATATCCTGTAATGTTCAGAGAACATCGTGAGAACCAAGGGAAACTAGGTAGGAATTGGTATTCTTCTTGAATTTCTGGAGGTTATATGCCTCGGGGAACACCTCCCTTGGCAATGTGTTCCAGAGCCTCGCTGTTAGTTGGATGAACGAGTCTTTGGAAAGAGATGTTCTGCAGGTCTCCAAAGTGACGAAGAAGGGGTGCGAAGCTTCAACTCAACGGGTTAATCTCGCGGGGACTGTCAAGGGAGGAACAATTGTTGATATTTCAGAAGAGCATCGTCCATGAAAATATTTATGAAATAGAGCCAGATCGCCAACTTTTCTACGGTGTTCCAGAGAAGTGAGTGAGTTTGCTAGCGAGGCATCACCCACGAGACGAATTGCCTTTTTTTGGACAGAATCCAACAGTTTCAGGGTATGTTTGGGTGCTGCACTCCAAATATGGGAGCAGTATTCCAGGACAGGTCGGATCTGTGCCTTATAGATCATAAGCAGCTGCCTGGAAGTGAAATAGCTCCTGGCTCGAAATAGAAAACCAAGTTTTTGTGATGCACTTTTAGCAATTGATCTCACGTGATTTTCTCAAGAAAGGTTATTGCTGATAGTAATGCCAAGCATCGAAATGGATGTCTTCAAAGGTATGGTTACTCCTGACAAGCTTATGTTGAGCACAGTGAGATCGGTTTTTCTAGAGAAAACGCACGCTTGTGCTTTGTTTGCATTGAAATCTGCCAAGTTATTGGATCCCCATTCGAGAATCGTTGCCAAGTCCATATTCACGTTGTCAACATTTCTCCCTCGTTCGTTTCTGATTTGCCTGGCTGGTATTGGAGCCCTGGAAGAGGAGGTGGTATGGAGGGTACTATCATCCGCGAAGCTGTGTACTGGCAATGAAGTTGTCTCCAACAAATCGTTGATATGGAGTAGAAATACTGTTGGTGCTAGAATTGATCCTTGCGGAACACCAGCATTTATGATAGGAGATTCAGATGAAACTCCGTCGACCACTACATGGAGAGACCTGTTTGAGAGAAAACTAGCTAGCAGAGAACATAGCTGGGGAGGCAAGCCATAAGATGGAAGCTTGGCGAGGAGTCCGTGGTGCCAGACTCGATCGAATGCCTTGGAGATATCAAGTGCCACGGCTAAGGTTTCACCATATTTTTCAATAGATTGCTGCTATATATGTGAGACGTAAGCGAGCAGGTCATCAGTTGATCTCTGATGACGGAAGCCATATTGCCTATCGTTGATAATACCTGAATGTTCCAGGTATAGCTTTCTCCGTGATCTTTGAAATAATAGATAGCAGTGCAATGGAAATAATAATTGATATTTAATTGAAAAATGTAAGTGAAATACCACTATTTTGAATCACTTGAACATATCAGTGTCAAAGCAGCTATCACATCAGCTGTCATCCGACATGTTTTTAGTTCCTAGGAGTTGAACTTCAACTCTAGCTCCTAGACACTAAAAGTGTTGCCTAGCAACATGCATACATTGTCAGTAAGAGAAACTTCAACTTCAAGTGCTAATTTTGGAACGAAAATGGACGACTTTTGAGCCGATTGCAGAAAAAATCCTTTTTCTGTGTGTATATGTGGTTTCCAAGCAACATTATTTGTATTATTTGCAAAATCGAGGTTTAGTACTTCACAATGATGAAATAAAATGTTCCACTGAAACAAAATAAAGTGTCTTACATCGAAGAAATCAATTTTGACGATAATTCAAGAACAGTCATTTGAAATAAGAAAGTTTGACTTTGGGACACCCGATATTTCTCATATTTGATACACCCTGTACACGCCGAGAGTGAAGTCACTTTTCCCCGTTCTTATCGATTCACAATGAGCAATGGTAATTTCTACTGACGAGTCATTATCAGTAGCCAGTCTCTGCTTGTCCTTCTGACATAATAATAGTTTGAGTTCGTTCGTCCTACCGATCGTGGTATAGTTGCTGGACTTTGCTACCTCACTTCCTGGTTGTTCGCCTTGTTTTAATTTTTTTTTATTAGTGTTTCTGCGGATGCGGTCGGGGACACCAATAATAACATTGACAATAATAATTATTATTAGTGATAAGTGGAGTTTTAATTCGCGTCATGGATGCGGAAGCTGAAGATTGGTACAAAGTACTGGAACAGGAGTTTGAGGTGGTGCTGAGGAAAGAAGAGCTGTCAAAGTCTCCGACAGGTGCCAGAGATGCCTCCATGGGGGATAGTCGTGATTCTGGGGTGGTTTCTGAACCGACTAAGGAGTGGCAGGAATATTGGTCTTGGTTAGTAAAGAAAAACATATATTCCAAATTGAATAAACATATAAACATAACATAATAAATAAATGATGGATTTCCACTTCATTCACTCCACAAGTGAGCTGGGGCAGAAGGAACGGCTGGGCAGCGTGCACATACTATGGGCTGCACGTACAGGGTGGGCAAAATTGGGCGTTTTCACCGTCTATCTCAATAAATAGAGGAGTTATCGAAAAACCGATATATATGTTCCGGGTTCGATTTTGGAGAAACCTCGAATGGCACAATCAAAATTTCGATATCTCCATTCGTTTTAGAGATACAGGGGGGAAATTGAAAATTTGCCGATTTCGATTTTATTTTCTGACTACTTTACGGTGAGAGGTATAAAAAAATTTTGAACGTATATTTATACAGTATGATGCGTGGAATCCATTGGCATCATCAGAAATTGTATACAGGGTGACGTTGAAAAGATACGGCAGCCAATTATGTTTTTTCTAATGGAACACCCCGTATATTTTGGCACAGTTGAATAGTCCCAGGCGTTCTCATTACAAATATATATATAACCCCACCTTTTCCTTCCACAATTTCAGATATATTCGCAAAAATATATTCAGTGTGTCACATTTCTTATGGTTACACCCCCGTATCTTCTGTAAAAATAGTTGAGGTAGGATTCAAAAATTCGCAACTGTCAGAAAGATACAAATGATACACTCATGGAGTCATGGACCAAGTGGGATCATCTCCAATGATAACACTGCTCGCCAGCAGCTATGGAATCATCGATATTTCTGGATAATGCTATCAACAGGCAGAATCGAGGTTGAAAATGACACTCTGTATATATTCACCAAATGTGGAAAATAAATATCATAGGGAATGTAATTTCCAGATAAATGGATATTTGGTGAGAAATAAAATGGGAAATTATTTGATTTGATATCATTGTTATCAAGACATTTGAGATACAGAAATAAGACCAATAATTTACTCAATTAGGAAATCAGTAGACTGCGTTGAAAAATATAGCCTTATAGAAGATGTCCAAATTCCAGATACAGAACAATTTTTTTTTGGAACACCCCGAATATTTTGGCAGAGCTGAAAAGTTCCCGTTCCAATTTCAAATATATATCTTATTTATTATCTCTTTGAACGCAAAAATATTAAGGCATACTAGAAATAATGGGTAAAGTATCATATTCAGGCATTCTGCCACAAAATATTATGATTGTTAATGTTTCCATCAATTATTCTTACAGAAGATATGGGGGTGTAACCATAAGAAATGTGAATATATTTTTGCGAATATATCTGAAATTTTGGGAGGAAAAGGTAGGGTAATATATATTTGTAATGAGAACGCCTGGGACTATTCAACTGTGCCAAAATATACGGGGTGTTCCATTAGAAAAAACATAATTGGCTGCCGTATTTTCTCAACGTCACCCTGTATAAAACTTCTGATGATGCCAATGGATTCCACGCATCATACTGTATAAATATACGTTTGAAATTTTTTGATACTTCTCACCGTAAATTAGTCAGAAAATAAAATCGAAATCGGCAAATTTTCAATTTCCCCCTGTATCTCTAAAAAGAATGAAGATATCGAAATTTTGATTGTACCATTCGAGGTTTCTCCAAAATCGAACCGGGAACATGTATATCGGTTTTTCGAAAACTCCTCTATTTATTGAGATAGACGGTGAAAACGCCCAATTTTGCCCACCCTGTACTGGAGCAAGCATGTGCAAGTGGGGCAGAATATACCTTCTGTACTGCAGAGTATACATTCTCTACTAATGGTTAGTTTGGTAATTTTGCACTTATCATGCGATGGTTTTTTTTTCGAAATTTTTTTTTGAACTTACGTATTTTTGTCTGAAAAACACGAATTTGATAATGAAAATGTGAACAAACCATTATTTATTAAGATATTTCACTATAAAGTTACAAATTTCACCTTCTTTTCCGCCTGTCTTCTGGATCGCATTTAGAACAATTGGCCCTTCTTTTTCCATCATTGGACAATTTATATATAATCACACAATGTTGGACACATTTTTTTTATTATATGAGTCAACTAGAAATACGATTTTCTTGTGATTTATCTGATTTATCCATGTTTAGTGAAAAGAAGGAAGAATATCATTTGAAATAATGGCGTGTGTAATGTCATTCCAAAGCAATCTATTGACATTTGACATCTCGTATTTGGATTGCCTATGGATTAAATGGCCGTCATCTGGTTTGCTCACTAAATAGGAAAAACTGGCCATAAAAATCATATTTTCTGTTGAATTTTCTATCTTAAAATGTGTCATTGAAGTACATCATGAGTATAGAAAGTGTCCAATGACAAAATGAAAAGAACAAGTAGGTACCTGAAAATGCATCCAACACAATGGGGAAAAGAAGTCAAATTTTCGAACTTTTCTTTGAAATATCTCGATAAATAGTGGTTTGTTCACATTTTCATTATCAAATTCGTGTTTTTCAGACAAAAATACGTAAGTACCAAAAAAAATTTTCGAAAAAAAAACCATCGCATGATAAGTGCAAAATTACCGTTAGTTTTTTTATCACGCTTTCACTCATTGCGAACGTGATTTTGACCAACTTCAAAAAGTAGAATGAATTGAAACTTTGCACATTAATCAAGAACCGATGACAATTGTATAATTTAATAGTTTTAGGATCTTCAGAAAGAGCGTATTTTTTTCTCGAATAAAATGGTGGTTGAAGTTCCGCCACCAAAATTTCAAATGTACAGTGTGTCCTGTTTTCGATGCTTTTTTGCATGATATCTCAATTGTCTTTGGAGATAAAACCTTCCGGTTTTCGCGGTGCTGTGCCCCTTTCCAGTGAAACCAGGGGCGGACTGGACCTTTGAATCGGCCCGGGCGAATTGAACCCTGCCGGCCCATCTCCGGAGAAAATGTCAAAGCTAATATAGCTATTCATATAATTTCCTTACATATTTTAGTGACATAGACAAAAACGAAAAAAAAATTACAAATTATTTTGATTCCAATCAAACTTAAGCGAAAACATTTTTCGATAAAACATCAAATATACTGAAGGAAAATGGAATATATAACATGAATAACATTTTATAAATGAAAAATAAAAATAGATAGAATGAACGATAATTCTATGGTAGACTAGGAAGATTATTTATCCAAAATGAAACATAAGCCGCATTAGGAATAGAAATTGAAAAACGAGTGAACCCATAGATGAGTGAACCTCTCATGGATCCACATTTTTCAACGAAATCGAATATGATATCGTCGCTTCCTATTGATTGTAAAATCGTTATTTCGCAGCTCAGATAATTTCTTGGCCTAATCAAGATGAATTTAAATTTTGAGAAAGATCTTTCACACGAAACCTGCGACACTGAAAGGGTGAGAATAATTTTATCTGAATATGGATAGATCTCGACGTTTAAATTGTATTTGTGCGAACCATGGAAGCAACAAAGTGAAAATGTTTTGCGAAACTTTTGTTTTTATGAAATCAATTCCTCTTCTACATCGAAGACATAAGTACCACCACCCATCATATCTTCGGATAAAGTACTCGACAGTCTTCCCACTTCGAGGTGAAATCTATCAAGGCTTATTTCATCAGCAGGATAATAATTTTTGATATTTTCATAAATCATACTCATTGAGTTTTCAGTCAATATTATTTGATCATCAGTGAATCTTGACGGATCAAATAGTTCAAAATCATGAAACAATTCTTTATGTTTCTTGAATCTAAATTCCAGTGCGGTGATAATAATTATCAATGATTACATTAAAAGTCCCAATTTTGAATTTCTTGATGGGATTTTGAGGTGCTTCATCATCACCTATCTCATCAAAAAAACTGTTTTTATTTCGTGTTCTTTGAAAATAAAGTTCATTTGCTTTATCAATGAATGTATGTGCATCAATCAAAATGACATTATATTCTCCCGATATTTTTTTAAGGATTTCATGGTTTTTTCGACGATTCGGTATTCTTCTAAAATATCCATTGGTACCTGATATTCGTAGTTAGCTCGAAAGAGGAGTGGTGAAACTGAAGATTTCTCTAATCAAATTTGCAGTTATAATGGCCTCATACTTCAGAAAGCTGTCGAGAAGACATATATATTTTTTTATTCATTCACTATTTCTACCGGCCCCAAAGGGCCCCAGCCCATCGGGCGATCGCCCGACCGCCCGGCCCCCCAGTCCGCCTCTGAGTGAAACTCAAAATGGCCTAATCAGATTTGGCAACTGTTTCCGTTCATGAGATACAGGGTGATTTTGAAAATTTATACTTTTTGGACACGTCCCCTAGATCTACGGAGTTTCTCAGCGAAAATATCGAGTTAAAATCTCATTCCATAGCGAATTTTACGCAGAATCCAGTGGCGCACAATTTTTTTTGTTGTATGGTTTTGAGATACGACTCGAAACGAAACACCCAGTGAACGCCCTATAGGGTGAATGTTACCCTCCGGGCGTTACGATCTATATAACGCACTTGGTAGGTAAATAAATAACTATTATTTTCTTCTTATTTTTAGTTTGACTATAGGTTTCTATAAAAGCGCTTATTTCATAAATGCACTGCTCAACATACTGTTCATTACTCGAAAAGTTGTACTAGTCGTTTGTAATCACATGACTAATAACGACATTAGTCACTCTGTATATATTTTCTTCAAATACTACTTAAAAAAACAGTTGCCCCCATGAGTCAAGTGATATGATAATGAAAATGATTTGTTTTGAAAAAACGTATTTACCTACCAGCACATCCTTTGTCACACTCATTGAGCATTAATGAGAGTTTTTTGCCATATACAGGATGTTCCTGAAAGTCATGCACATATTAAAGGAGGTACCACTAAGTTGATTCACTTTTAAGTTACAAGGTGTTAAAGTTGATAGTTGATATTCAATTACTAGGCAAACTTTTTGATGAATTGGATTGACCTTGAGATAAATGAAATAGTTATCACATTTTAT